CCGAATAATGTAAATATTTGTACATAATGCCTCATCTCAGAAATATAGACAGATACTGAAGCCGAAATGTTTGTAATAAATATGGTGACAAAGATGAGGACAATAGTCCAAATAATGTAAATAGTGTACATAATACCTCATCTCAGAAATATAGACAGATACTGAAAGGCCGAAATGTTGTAATAAATATGGTGACAAAGATGAGGACAATGTCCAAATAATGTAAATAGTGTACATAATGCCTCATCTCAGAAATATAGACAGATATGAAAGGCTGAAATGTTGTAATAAATATGGTGACAAAGATGAGGACAAAGTCCAAATAATGTAAATAGTGTTAATACCTCATAAATATAAACAGATACTGAAGGGCCGAAATGTTGTAATAAATATGGCGACAAAGATGAGGACAATAGTCCGAATAATGTAAATACTGTAGTGTCTATCTATTTCCTCTCAAAGATTTATCAATGATACAGTAATTGTGGTCAAGGTTGGTCATTACTAGCTATCTTATACCTAGCTAATCGGATTCACAACCCATTCGTTCGTTAGAATTTATTCATTCACCATATGAATTTATACGTCATAATTCGCTCCTTCATACACCAAAATTCCTCGGACACACAGGGAACCTACTGGGTAAAAATCGCTACAAGAGTTAAAAAATTCGATATGCACAACAAATACTGCCAACGTCTTCTTCTCAGAAAATGTTTCTGATTTTATGGAGCATAAAATTTTAGCAGTTGGCGAGCAAAGAATACATCTGCATAGCTAACACCGCTAATCTCATGGAGAAGCTGATAAACACTTCCTTTCTTCATTAACAAGGCGTTCCGGGGGTTGCACTGGCTCTTGTACTGGCAGGGTAGCCATGTGCATTCTTTCCACAGAAACAGCACACTAAACGTCGCTTCTTTGACCGACAGGGTGTGGATATCAGTATATTGGCTTCTCCGTCTGCATTTCGCTTCCGCTACAGTTCCTGTTAGTAAACCCTGGGATTACCAAAGTGAACAGTATTGCCCCTTGTGGGGAAGTGGGTAGATCAAGAGTTTGGTGGGAGAAAAGCAAGCGTTAAGTGTTTGGTTAGAAAAAAGATCGTACTAACAGGTTTGGCTTGGTTTGTTTTTATGGCATATCCACGCCAATGGGTTATATAATGCGGAAAATTTGTTATTGTTAGTAATATTATTTTTCAAACATGTATTGCTAGTAATACTCTTCCTTCAAAAAATGTATTGCTAGTAATACTCTTCCTTCAAAAAATGTATTGCTAGTAATACTCTTCCTTCAAAAAATGTATTGCTAGTAATACTCTTCCTTCAAAAAATGTATTGCTAGTAATACTCTTCCTTCAAAAAAAGTATCACTGGTAATACTCCTTTGTCTAAAAAGTATTGCTGGTATTAAGGCCTATTTTACACTTTCATAGTGTTTTGACCCCAGTTTGAGGTTTTACTATTTGCCGGGTGGACCTGGGAAACACCGGCAATTAAGAGGTGGTTCCACGCTCCTCAAAACCTCCTGATCAGAGGCCTTGTTGTTGGACGTAGTTTATCGTCTTACCCAGGACGCCGATGTAGTCTGTTGATCAGAGTAACCTTCAAGGAATTTAGAACTGAACCGACTCCTACGAGGATGTTTTCTCGATCACGACAATCTTAACCTGTTCAAGAAGTAGTTTATCGTCATACCCAGGCAACAGAGTGGTATAAGAATCATATAATAATTTTCCCTCTGCCCCACGAAATCTTTATGACTAAAGTCTTAGTTTTAGTAAGAATTTTTACTGAGAATAAAAATCCGTGAGGTACAGAGATTAGCAGCTAATCTGTCCTCCGATTAAGTTCTAACATCTTCGTGGCGAAAAAAACTGGCTGGTTACATTCATTGCCTCGAAAATCAAACTAGTTATATTCCATCAACGCCGATCGGTCATTGAACTACCAGACACGGTGAAGGGCGTGATTATTGGGCCTTAAACTCACTCCAGCCCTGAAGTGGAACTTGTACATACGATCCATCACTGTTCTTCCATATACCGCCCCAGTAAGTACCTGACTCCACCTGGTGTCCTCTACATTTACAAGAGCCAGATTTAGGTTTAAAAAAATGAAGTAATGTTGTGAGCGACGAATTATTCTTCACCCTTCAACCTCTCTCCCGCAGACCGGATGTTGGAAGCCTCTCACTGCAATATCGTGACATCCATAGAAAGTGCTCAGACGAACTTCATTCCTTGGCTCTGTCTATCCTGACCATCACGGCTAGGATGCGCGATGCCCCACTTACACTGTAGCAAACCAATCACATCCCCCCTTTCCGTGTATTCCATCAGTGAGAAGTAAGTTCCATTCGAAAAGCTTCCACTCACGAACCGCTGGTCTGTGGAACCGATTCCTAAGAGGATGTTTCCCCGATTATTACAATCTTCCCCAGATATCCTCACAATTGTCTCATCCCCAGTAAGACTCTTGTACATGGTTAATATCACTGTAAAAAAACAAAAAACAAAAAAAACAGGAACGCATTAGGACACTTTGGCGTGGTGTAATGGTTAACAATCTTGATAGATCAATTTCGACTGAGGAGTGAGTTAGATCATCACTAAGTGCTCCAGACTTTCGGCCTTGTGTGACACTATTTAGCTTGCTTAAAAGGGAGAAAGAAGAAAAGAAAAAGGAAAGAAAGAAAAAAAAAGAAAGGTGAGAGTTAAATTTAGATGATAAAAAAGCCATCATGAAAGGGACATTAAGCGGTGTTATTTTGACAAGGAAAAATGGTGAAAATGGTTTATTGCCATTGTCGAGAATTCTAAATAGATAAAAATTAACTGTGTCATGGTGGCGAACTTATATTATCGGTAATAGATAACGCCAGAATGTGAAAGCGTCTAATGGGCCAACCGCTTGGTGATGGCGAAAAGCTAATTGACGAATTCCAGGTTGGCCAGCTGGCCTCAGAAACAGAATTCTAAATAGATAAAAATTAACTGTGTTGTCCGTTGGCCACACACGAGTTGCGAAAACAAAAAACCAAACCATAGGTTAAGTCTTTGTCGATGGAGGGTGTCGTTGGACAAGGCATCTGGGTTGTGTTGAAATTTGGCTATGACAGCGAAACTATTTTATCAGAAACTGGCACCAAGAATGCAAATACGGCTAGGATAGCGAAACTACCTTATTGGGACGAAAAGTTGGATGTGTTTCGCTAGATGACCACCCACTTGATAATTGGCGAAAATCTCATTGATAGGTACCAGGTGACATTGAGGATAAGAGCTGCGATTAAGGGACCACACTACGAAAGAAAAGAGAAAGAAAGAAGGAAAAAGGAAAAGTAAAAGAAAAGATAATTTTGTTTTTCTTCGAGCAAGATTTTTTTTGAAAAGAAGGCTAGTCTGGTCACACCCACACTGCTGAGCGCCCATTGGTGAATGTTAACAAGAGCCAGGCGGAGGTGATCATGTGAGTGATGCAGGGGGGGGGGGTGGCCTGCTGGCACCCATTGAGGGGATAGGTATGAGATGTCACTGTGAGAGAGAGGGAAAACCGTTGACGCCCTCTGAGAGTATGGTGAGATATGCATATGAGAACAGAGGAAGGTGGGAGTAGGAGAAGACTTCCAAAAATGGAAAGGAGTGGAAATTTCCTGACCGAAAACAAAGAAGTGGACTGTGGATTTAGAATTATGAAGGGACCTCAAACCCCGACGAGCCCACCCCGGTTTGGGTCGGCGTCCATATAAGCAAAGTCGCAGCGAGCGAAAATTAGTTTCGAATTTCAGTCTTCCAGTTCCAATGAGTTCGAGTTCCAGTTGAGAGCTCCGAAGACCCACCATGCATTAGCTGACTAAGATTCACGCAATTCCGAACTCATCTTCTAACCAAGAACAGTTTATTTTTGAAGAACGACTTAGACTCATACCACCAAAACAAGTTTTACGAATATCGCCTGAAGACACACCAAGAACCAGTTTCTTAAAAAACAGATAACTTAAGATGTTAAGACTCGCCTAACAAAAACAACGTGTCACGAATCCATATAGCGGGTTGGGAGATAGACGCAGTCCTGTATCCAGAAAGCAGATATAAAATATTGTTATCCTTTTTTAACACATTTGAACTTTTCGAGTTGTTATTTTATTTTCTTTTACATCTATTTGTACGATATCACCCTTATTCGAACTCGACTTGCATTACGGCCCCGGCGACTGATTGATTTCGTCTGCCTAAGATCAATTTACAACGTGGGTAGGCAGACTGGAGATCAAAGTAGTTACTTCGGTAACCAGACGTTGGAGCCGAGTTGGGAACGACGAGGCTGATATCGAATCTAACCAGATTCCCATCCGAATCACCAAAAGGTTAGAACGTCACATTTGGGTGCCGCGACCAATACCAAGCCAGTTGTTCGTCACAGGACGGGATAGCACGACTGACGCAGACAGGCGGACGTCACGTTTGGAGCGGCGACACCCGCGGGGAGCCTTACACTTGTGTCACATGTAAGCAACGTTCAGAAAATCATTTGTGTACTTCAGCGTGGTGTAATGGTTAGCAAGCTTGTCTTGATAGATCAATTATGACTAATCATTTAGATCCACACTGGGTGCTCCAGACTTTCGGCCTTGTGCCACATGTAAGCATCACTCAGAAAATCATTTGGGTAATTCAGCGTGGTGTAACAGTTAGCAAGCTTGTCTTGATAGTTCAATTACGACTGAATAGTGTCTTCGATTTGCACTGGGTACCCCATACTTCCGGCCTTGTGCCACATATAAGCTACGCTAAGAAAATCGCTTGGGCATGACGACGTGATGTAATGGTTGGCAAACCTCTAGCCTGAGTGACTCTTGGACTTTGTACAGGGTGGACATTATTGTAAAAAAAAGAACTTTCTAAGAATGCTGCTTGTGTTCTTAAATTTTCAGAAAAGGTTTTGTCGTTTTTTTTCGCTGCGTTTTTTTCATAACATAAGTTTAGTTGGTGGTGGTGCGGCCATAACACGTTGAAACACTTGTTCCCTCGCGATCGCCGAAGTTAAGCAACGTCGAGACTGGTCAGTATTTAGATGGGTGACCTCTTTTTTCCAAGTACCGCTACTTTGGAGAACAGACTCCAGAAAAAAATGTGACTATTACTACAATCTGAAACCGTTTTATATTCTGCATATCCTCATAAACTGCACTTCATACCACATTCTCTTACCCTCATACAAGAACATATTAAGTAACCCATGACCTTGAGCCGGTCTTGAGCATTCTAATAGGAGAACATTAGTATAAAAAAGAAGTGTTTCTTTAAAGATGTCAGAGCCGATAGGGTGTGGCACAGGAGCTAAAAGTTGTTGCAACTAGTCCCTGTTTTAAAGATTTGACAAAATACTTGATGACAAGTTTCTTTATTGTGGGGCTTCATTTTAAATAATTTTGACTAACAAAATTTCTGCAATTACAAAATCTCTTAAAAAATGATTAATTTAAACATAAAAAGTAATATTTGATTTATTGAGGAGAAAATATTTGAATTTATATCTATTGACGTTTATTACATTACAATTTAAAACACACATGTTCGTATATAGGTCTATATTGCTGAGATGAGGTATTGTAAGTATTTACACTATTTCCATCGTTCGGGCTGTTGTTCTCACCTTTATTGCCATATTCACCTTTTTTTTTGCATATCGGGACCGCACAAATCCTTAAATATCTGTCAATATGTCTGAGATGAGGTATTGTAAATATTTACACTATTTCCATCGTTCGGGCTGTTGTCGTCACCTTTATTGCCATATTCACCATATTTTTGGTATATCGGGTCCGTACCGATCCTTCAATATCTGTCTATATTTCTGAGATGAGGTATTGTAACTATTTAAATTATTTATATCTTTCGATCTGTTGTCCTCATATTTATTGACATGTTCGCCATATTTTTGGTATATCGGGTCCGTACCGATCCTTCAACATCTGTCTATATTTCTGAGATGAGATATTAACTATTAACTATTTACATTTATTTCCATCGTTCGGGCTGTTGTCGTCACCTTTATTGCCATATTCACCATATTTTTGGTATATCGGGTCCGTACCGATCCTTCAATATCTGTCTATATTTCTGAGATGAGGTATTGTAACTATTTACATTATTTATATCTTTCGATCTGTTGTCCTCATATTTATTGACATGTTCGCCATATTTTTGGTATATCGGGTCCGTACCGATCCTTCAACATCTGTCTATATTTCTGAGATGAGATATTGTAACTATTTACACTATTTCCATCGTTCGGGCTGTTGTCGTCACCTTTATTGCCATATTCACCATATTTTTGGTATATCGGGTCCGTACCGATCCTTCAATATCTGTCTATATTTCTGAGATGAGGTATTGTAACTAAATTATTTTATCTTGATCTATTTCCTCATATTTATTGATCTGCCATTTTTGGTATATCGGGTCGTACCGATCCTTCAACATCTGTTATATTTCGGAGATGAGATATTGTGTTTACACTATTTCCATCTTTCGGGCTGTTGTCGTCACCTTTATTGCCATATTCACCATATTTTTGGTATATCGGGTCCGTACCGATCCTTCAAACATCTGTCTATATTTCTGAGATGTTGAGATATTCGCTATAACTATTTACACTATTTCCATCGTTCGATGGCTGTTGTCGTCACCTTTATTGCCATATTCACCATATTTTTTGGTATATCGGGTCCGTACCGATCCTTCAATATCTGTCTATATTTCTGTTGAGATGAGGCCATATTTTTGTAACTATTTAAATTATTTATATAATTTTTTCTTTCGATCTGTTGTCCTCATATTTATTGACATGTTCGCCCATATTTTTTTTGGTATATCGGGTCCGTACCGATCCTTCAACATCTGTCTATATTTCTGAGATGAGATATTGTAACTATTTACACTATTTCCATCGTTCGGGCTGTTGTCGTCACCTTTATTGCCATATTCACCATATTTTTGGTATATCGGGTCCGTACCGATCCTTCAATATCTGTCTATATTTCTGAGATGAGGTATTGTAACTATTTAAATTATTTATATCTTTCGATCTGTTGTCCTCATATTTATTGACATGTTCGCCATATTTTTGGTATATCGGGTCCGTACCGATCCTTCAACATCTGTCTATGTCTGAGATGAGGTATTGTAACTAATATTTATATTTCTGAGATGAGATATTTATTGACCAATTCGCCATATTTTTGGTATATCGGTCCGTACCGATCCTTCAATATCTGTCTATATTTCCATCTGTTGTCGTTTCGGGATCCTTCAACATCTGTCTATATTTTGATGAGATATTTAACTATTTACATTATTTTTATTGCCATATTCATTCGCCATATATTTTGGTATATCGGGTCCGTACCGATCCTTCAATATCTGTCTATATTTCTGAGATGAGGTATTGTAACTATTTACATTATTTATATCTTTCGATCTGTTGTCCTCATATTTATTGACATGTTCGCCATATTTTTGGTATATCGGGTCCGTACCGATCCTTCAATATCTGTCTATATTTTTCTTGAGATGAGGTATTGTAACTATTTACATTATTTATATCTTTCGATCTGTTGTCCTCATATTTATTGACATGTTCGCCATATTTTTGGTATATCGGGTCCGTACCGATCCTTCAATATCTGTCTATATTTCTGAGATGAGGTATTGTAACTATTTACATTATTTATATCTTTCGATCTGTTGTCCTCATATTTATTGACATGTTCGCCATATTTTTGGTATATCGTCATTTATTTTTTGGGTCCGTACCGATCCTTCAATATCTGTCTATATTTCTGAGATGAGTTGTCCTCATTTTAACATGTTCGCCATATTTTTTTTATCGGGTCCATTATTTATATCTGAGATGAGGTATTTCGATCTGTTGTCCTCATATTTATTGACATGTTCGCCATATTTTTGGTATATCGGGTCCGTACCGATCCTTCAATATCTGTCTATATTTCTGAGATGAGGTATTGTAACTATTTACATTATTTATATCTTTCGATCTGTTGTCCTCATATTTATTGACATGTTCGCCATATTTTTTTTGGTATATCGGGTCGTACCGATCCTTCAATATCTGTCTATATTTCTGAGATGAGGTATTGTAACTATTTACATTATTTATATCTTTCGATCTGTTGTCCTCATATTTATTGACATGTTCGCCATATTTTTGGTATATCGGGTCCATCCGCTCCTTCAACATCTGTGTATATTTCTGAGATGAGGTATTGTAAATATTTACTTCGCTCGTGATGTCGTCCTCATCTTTATTGTCATACAACCGTAGGCACTGGCCTTCTTTTTTTCAAAATTATTATTTATCTTTTAACATTTGTATGCGTGATATACATCGTAAGTCGTTTTGTCTTCAATTCGGATTTCTATTTCTTTTTCTTTTTTTCTTGTTTTAAGCGGATATAAGCATAAAATATATTGCAATTTCTTTTTGTTTTCGTCTCGTTATTTAATTTATTTACACGATTTTTTTCGCATGTTTTTGTTTATTTTAGGCGCCATCATAACTAGTATAGTGTATTTAATTAGATTTTTTTTTTCGATCATCGTTTTAAATGGCATGTCGTTACAATTTTTTATTTTATCTTATTTGTATTTTTTAAAATCTGATTTGAGCACGGCATATAGCATAAGACGCTTTGTCTCTCATTCATATTTAATTATTATTATTTTTCTTTTAACGGTTATAAGAATTAAATATATTTTAAGGCTGATCGTTCCCCATTCCTATCGCCATTTGCCCTATTTGTCCCTTTCTTTCTTTCTTTCTTTCTTTCTTTCTATTATTGTTTTTCCTCTTCTCTTTATATTATTCAATCTTTCTTTTTGTCCTCGGGTTTTTACCTTTCATTCGTACTTAATTATTATTATTATTATTATTATTATTATTATTATTATTTCCTTTGATTTCTGGTGTGTACACATTTCGTTCCGGGTCCCGCCCAGAGACCTAAGGTTAGAAATGGCATCATAACATTTTCCACTGACAATATATATATATATATATATATATATATATATGAAGAAAACTATATACGTTTAAACATGGCCACGTTGTCGTCACGTGGGCGACATGTTTAAACGGAGCGCTGATCTTATAAAACTTTCAGTTATCTGTTTGGATAAGTCTTGTTCTTATGTACATCGTCTTTGTCATGTTGAATTGATAATGTTAATTATATTTTATGAATATGTCCTGAAGATGGTTTATTAGACCGAAACGTCAGACGTTGACATATTAACATTAAAACAGCATAATTGCATATAGGGATTTTTGTTTGTTTTTTCCGTATATATTTTTCTTCATATTGTCGGATCTATATCCATATATTTGCTTACATATATATATATATATTTTACATAGATAAAGCTCGTCGTAGGGTGTGGGCTGTACACACGAGAACAATTTTTTTGCATTTCTTTAAGGCATGGTCTTCAATTAGTCTACTGGAATTTCTCCAAGCAATCCGAGGGCTCCAACTACAACAGGAATTGTTGATGTTCCCATGTACCACATTTTTGAGATTTCGATTATAAGGTCCTTGTATTTTGATAGTTTTTTGAAGATATCCAAAGATACATTGCAGTCCGCAGGGATTGCCATATCAAGTTACCAGCTTGCAACGTGACCCAAAGAAAATCTGAGAGCACGTCCAAAGAATGAGATTGGTACAGATGGGGAATAAATTTACATATCCACAGTTAAAGAATTCATGACTGGGCATTGTATTCAGAGGGGGGGAGCATATGTGTATAGACATGGCACTGACTATACTAAGTAGAAATCGGACTGACCACTACCAAGTGGAATATCAGACGTTATTAATGAGGGTTATTCCATTTTTTTAAAAAAGTTATTATTATTATTATTATTTTCTTTGATTTCTGGCGTTTACACGTTTCTTTCCGGGTCCCGCCCAGGGACCTAAGGTTAGAAATGGCGTCATGACACTTTCCACTGACAAAAAAAAAAAAAAAATTAAATTACATAGATAAAGCCCTTCGTAAGGTGTGGGCTGTACTAGTCAGAACAATTTTTTGTATCTCCTTGAGGCATGGACTTCCAGGAATCCCTTCAATTAGTCTACTGCAATCTTTTCCAACCAGTCATAGGGCTCCAACTACAACAGGGATTGTTGATGTTCCCATATGCCACATTTTCGAGATTTCTATTTCAAAGTCCTTGTATTTTGTTATTATTATTATTATTATTATTTTAAAGGTTATAAGCATGAAATGCATTTTAAGGCAGATCGTTCACCATGCCTTTCATAATACTAAACAATGAAATACATGTAGGCCGAAAGAGTTTTTTTTTTTTTTAATTATGCAATTTATTCACAATTGAATTTAGGTTTAGGAGCGTACAATACCGCAACGCTAGCGTTCTTGTTCAAATCGATCAAGTGAGAATATTCCTTGAAGTTTGAAAAGTTATAAATCCACGAAATTTTTCTTGTTATATGTATTGATAGTAAGTTAATGTCTCATTAAGTGTTGTTAGCGAAGTGATTTCGCCATTAATCGCATTATCATTTGTATTGTATAAATTGTTTCTTTTATCATATAAAATATAAGCTGCACAGTCTCATATATATATATATATATATATATATATATATATATATATATATATATATATATTTAATTGAATTGATGTGAGTTTGTGAACCTGGGTTTCACACTATTTGCGATCGTCAGACAAACTTTGTTTTTTGCAGACATATGTTTATTGCCCATTGGCTGTCGATCGCAAATAGCATGAAACGCAGGATCACAAACTCACATCAATCCAACTAAATATGTTAGCTCTATCAATAATATTGAGCGATTACCAATAAGTACCGCGCATATATAAGACATAAATAATATATATAAAAATTGCATATATATATATATATATATATATATATATATAGGCAGCATATATTCATTCAAACATGTTTCATTAAATAATATAATTATGTGTAGTTTTATAGTATCCTTTCTAGTTCTCTAATAAGCTCCTTCGTTAAGTTGAAATTTCATTAATGAAGTCGCCGTAGTTTTTTCTCGATCAAGTCCTTTCGATTAGCTCCGATATCATCCTCAGAGGTGTATTGCAAAGATATACTTATATGTTGGTTTGACAACCACAACATTATCAAGACGTTTTACACTTTATTTGTCGGATACAAGTTGTATTGCACAACATTTAAAGACGCATTGCTGTCAACCTTCACTATACAACACCAATTTACAGCACCAGGAAAATATTAAAAAAAAAACTTCAAATTCTTGAGACCCTCTAAATCAAAAGTAACCAACCAACACGGAATACAATTTATTATGAGTGTAGTAGTAAAGTTTTGAAATGTATTTCCCAAGATTTAATGGTATTTTGTATTTCTAACATTTCTGGTTAGCCCCCTTATATTGTGACGATTGTTTTAAAAAAAAAAACACCCTAGTTAAAACTGATAAATTTAAAAAAATAAAATAATTATACCAGAGCGCGTTACGCGTTTTACAAAAACACCATCACAAGAATCACAGTTACAATAGGTTTATATATATATATATATATATATATATATATATATATATATATATATAATATATATATATATATATATATATATATATATATATATATATATATATATATATATATATATAATTATTTATATATTATATGCGCGGTTTTTATTAGAAAGCGCTCAATATCAGAGATAGAGTTAACATATTTGGTTGGATTGATGTGAGTTTGTGACCCTGGGTTTCACGCTTTTGCAATCGATCGATCAAAAGCGTGAAACCCAGGTAACAAACTGACATCAATCCAACAAAATATATATATATATATATATATATATATATATATATATGATAAAAAAGGGTAATGGTCCGAGTTGAAGAAGACCAGGAAACAGTGGTATTATAAAGTGCTAAATACACGTGTGACAAAATAAAAATAAGATGTAGAGCTTTTAAATTTTAAAAATCAGGAGGTCAACTGTATCCGCTACCTTGGTTTCAAACTTACGGTATCTTCAGGCGATTTTTATCAAATGACCTCTTAACGCTTTATTTTTCCCAAAAAACTAATGAACTCTATATTATTTTCGAGAAAGAAAGAAAGAAAGAAACTCACGGCGTTGGGTGTAATAGAATGGGAGGAGGAGAATGTGAAGAAGGAAAGAGAAGAAAAGTGAGGGTACTATAAAAGTATCTGTGCCGGTGGGGGTAAATTGAAATGTCAATTTTTTTTATCCAGACTCATATAAGGTTGAAACCATGGTAGTGGATTCAACTAACCTCCTAATTTTTAAAGATTTTTAAAGTATATATATATATATATATATATATATATATATATATATATATATATATGTGTGTGTGTGTGTGTGTGTGTGTGTGTGTGTGTGTGTGTACATATATATATATATATATATATGTACACACACATATATATATAAATCTCTCTCTCTCTCTCTCTCTCTCTCTATATATATATATATATATATATATATATATATTATTATTTTTTTTTAAAATATGATTCCTTCGCTACATAAGAGTTCTCGTGTTTCTAAAACGAGAGCCGAAACCATCAATATAATTATTAAAATTAAATTGAATTAAGATGAAATTCCTAAATTTTGGCTTGAGGATGAAACCGGGCTTGTTACTTTAATTCAATTTAATTTTGATAATTATATTGAGGGTTTCGGCTCTCGTTTTTGAAACGTGAGAACTCTTATGTAGCGAAGGAATCATATTTTTTTTTAAAAAATAATTATAATCTAAGCTCTACTTCTGTATGGAGCACTGTTTTTTAAAAATAAAAACAAAAATATTAAAGAACCCTGGACTACTTACTTAACGTGTTCTTTCCTATTTTTTTACATATCTGCACAGACAGACAGACACACACACACACACACACACACACACACACACACACAGACACACTCACACACACACACATATATATATATATACATTTTAAGACATTTTTATGTTTATAAATAATAATATTCATAATAAACAGTATTAAATAACATTTAATGTTATTAATACTGTTTATTATGAATTATTATGTTTATTATGTTTATTATGATGAGTAAAATCGACCTTACAAACCGAACGCTCCTCTGTGGCCCAATCGGTTAAGGCCCGTCAGGCTATATGACGGTTCCGTATAGGATACAGGTTCGATTCCTGTCGGAGGACGAATATTTTCGATGAAAATTTCTCGGACATTCAGGCCGGTAAATGTTATTTAATACTGTTTATTATAAACAGAGCATTTACTTAAATATTTGTATCTATAAAAAGAATGTATAAACATAAAAATGTCTTAAAAATAATTGTCGGACGTTGTCCATTTCATAATATATATTGAACAATAAAAAAATATTAAAAAATTAAAATCTTCAGACACACTGGGTTGTAGATAAATATTCTTTCGTTTTTTTTTTATTATTTCATTTAGATTCCTCTATTCATATATATATATATATATATATATATATATATATATATATATATATAAGTGATTGAAAATAAACAACACCATTATTGAACATTGGTTCCATGGCGTATGTAATAACAATTAAGACAGCAAATATTGGCTTCAAGATCTTTCATTGAAAACTTCATACGTTTGTTTACGAACGAAACAGTTTTTTTTTCACGACTTTCCCAAAACTGGAAATCTGAAGTCAGCATGTGTGTACATTCGCATGTACTAAAGTGTGATTGTGGAAGAATTAAAACATCTAAGTCTTCATTTGATAAGCTTTGACTCGAGCAGGCGATTACAAAATTGAATGACCGCCAGCGGAGAAGGAAAATGACTCAATAACCTCAGCCATGAGGAAAAGAAAGGAAAAACATACTAGAGATAAGAACGCTATTCTCCGACCTTTTCTTCCAAGGATTTTGCGTTTTTTTCTTTCTTTTCCTTTCTTTTTTTCTTTTCTTTTTTTTTTTTAATGATCTTTCTTTTGTTGTACGCCTTCTCGTTGGGTAGACATGGATGCTTGTGGGTATGGCCGCTGTACTTTTTCTTTCTGTGAGCCGGCACATCTACATATGAGTCTCTTTGTTTATTCGGTTGTTCATTGATAAAGAACCGGAGGGGATAGTAACGAAGAAGTAGTGGCCTTGTTATCCGCGATGAAATCGTTTTCTTTGCAGCCTGATTTCCCAAGAGAGCCGCTCATTAATGAGACATACAGCTTGAACTGCAATAATAATGAAACGACAGTAGTTTGATGTTGGCTAGATCAGTTTATCGTATGTAACACGACAGAATGCAATAATAAATAACGTTTTTGAACTGAGAGGGAGATTCAACAGGTTTGTCGTACACTTAAACTGACATCACATCCACTGCCTCACTTCTCTTTCAATCTATCTATCTATCTATCTATCTATCTATCTAATTTTATTCATATCTATCTATCTATCTATCTATCTATCTATCTATCTATCTAGTATAGGATACGTAAGGATGACCAACCTCAACCCCAACCCCCACTTTAAGGCCATGTGCCCAAATTATTGTATTTTGCAATAATAAATAGATTCTATCTATCTATCTATCTATCTATCTATCTATCTATCTATCTCAGTCTATTCCGATCTATCTATCTCAGTCTATTCCGATCTATCTATCTATCTATCTATCTATCTATCTATCTATCTATCTATCTATCTAAGTCTATTCCGATCTATCTATCTATCATTATCCATATCTATCTATCTATCTATCTCAGTCTATTCCGATCTATCTATCTATCTATCTATCTATCTATCTATCTATCTATCTATCTATCTATCTCAGTCTATTCCGATCTATCTATCTATCTATCTATCTATCTATCTATCTATCTATCTATCTCAGTCTATTCCGATCTATCTATCTATCTATCTATCTATCTATCTATCTATCTATCTATCTAAGTCTATTCCGATCTATCTATCTATCATTATCCATATCTATCTATCTATCTATCTATCTATCTATCTATCTATCTATCTATCCCAGTCTATTCCGATCTATCTATCTATCTATCTATCTATCTATCTATCTATCTATCTATCAGCCTGTCTTAAGGAAAATACATTCTTGTATTCCCGTGATGCCATTTTGTGACGGTAATTCATTCGCCTCCACGCAGTCGATGATCTCCATGTCATTTGACTGAAATGTTTGGTTGAATTTAAGTGATTCATATATTCTGTGATTAGCACGAAAACAACAACAACAACAAAGAAATATCCCAAGCAACAACAACAACAACAACCTCATATCCAAACGAATAAGAAAGAAAACAAGAAATTAACAAAAATAAAAAAAGAAGCAAAATTAACAAAACAATTAACAAATAAATAAACACCGGGAAATCCTTTTGTTTGGAGAAAAATAAAATCGAAAAACCATTTTAAATAAAAAAAAAAATGTCCGATAAGACCTACCATCAATTGTTTGTAACCAAATTTTAAGACAGGTGGAAGTAAACGGAAATTAAGATTAACTATCAAACTGCAAGACGATTTAATGATACATTTTTACGGATTATCAGCCATTTACAGGTTGTTTAAACCCAGAAAATAGTTTATATTGTAAGAATTATAATTTTGTAAATAATGGCTTCGTGATTTTCGTCTTACTAAATAAACCATTGCTGGGGGTGGAGACGAGGTACATTTATACCTAATCAGGATTTGATAGAAAAAAACAAAAAAAAAACAAGAAATGATAGTGCGGATATGATGTGGAGGATCAATTTTATAATAAAAACAGTATATAAACAGATCCCTCATTTTGTGACCACGGTAGTTTCTATACATTTATATCCCAGAGAAAGTAAATAAATAAATATATAAAAAAAGTACCTGATCAGTACTGGCTGTAACAGCAAAATTGTCCAAATCGTGTAACAGCAGAATTGCTCATCCCACAAAATGTTTAATATCTAAAAAACACTAAACTAATTGAGTTTCCTTTTATTCCAGATTTCCAGATAAGACGTTTAGCCATCTTGACACCATTTGTCGTAAGAATCACTGAAAAACTCTTTGAGTTATTCAGCTAGAAAAAGAAAAGGTTAAAATCGTTTTGTGTCAGCCCTACTATCATCTCAACTGAGCAATGCTGAGAGGACAAAGATCATTCAGGCGTTCAGTACCAACATTCATAATCTGGCCTCCATCTTAAAAGTCCATTCAAGAACCATCAAGAGAACGGTGAATAAATTTTAAAAAGTCGGAACAGTAAAGAGGAAATCTGGACCAGGAAGAGGGATCATCATTTCAACTAAGAGCTAAAGAGATCAATTAGAAAAGATCCAACTCAATTCTCAATACGTTTGGCACATGGGAGAGGAGTTTCAGCTATGACAGTTCAAAGAACAGTGAAAAAAACTTGAAAATGAAAGTGTATGTGAGACTTGTGAGGCAACTTGTTACACCAGGACAGAAAGTTAGAGAGGATTAGACAGGGCGAAGATAATTGTGAAATGATCGTGGATATATATATATATATATATATATATATATATATATATATATATATATATATATAAGTGAACATTGAAGTCAACACTCAGAGACGACAGGCTGTTTCATGCTAGGCGCAATCGTCAGGCCACATACATACGCTCTATCTCTGATATTAAGCACTTTATCACATAAATATAGCACACCTTAAAACTATATTTCTTGCCCCCCTCTCTCTCTCTCTCTCTCTCTCTCTCACACACACACACACACACACACACACATATGTATATATATATATATATATATATATATATATATATATATATATGTATGTATTTGAACTTTATTTCAATCCTTCATGAGCTTCCGATCCTTAGCTATGATTAATTAATGATGAACATGTCATTTTCATTTATGATCGATTTCATCATGATACTTCTTTTAAGCTTGGAGAGTAATTATACATTCTTATTGCTCAAAATAGTGTTCAGTAGTGTTATAAACCTCCGAGAATTCCAGTAAGATATCTTTAATCATTTCTAAGATACAACGGTTCAGAGCTTAATCTAATAATTGAACAATTTTGCTGTTACACGATTTAGATAAATTTGCTGTTACCCCGGTATATCATTGATTGAATAATTCGTTTCCTACTGCTTACCAGCCCTTTGCAGATTATTTAAAGCCAGAAAATATTTTTACATTCTATGATTTTTATTTTTTTGAGATAATAATTATTTAGTGTTACAGGTCTTACTAATTAACCCATAGTTTGAGGGAAATAGATGATTCAGGATTCATAGCTTTCCCAGGAGTATTTGTGCATAAATGAATGCAACGAACCTAACTGGAATTGGAACTCGGCTCTCCGATTCGCAATTCCGAGCCATTATCCATGACAGCCCCGACACAACCAAGCTCACATCACCTGGTACTGGCCAGGCTCGTTGTTGCTTAACTTCGATGATCGTAAACTGCAAGAAGGCAGAAAGTATGGTTATCTGTAAGAGAGATGCCCAAGCGGTTACAAATTCTAGATGTAAACATCAATTGGATGCAGAAGATTAAATATCTGGAAATGATTTTAACAGAGATGAAAAAAATGCGACTCCAAGATCGGGATAGACACTGGACAAGCGAAAGAAGCATTCGAAAAGTCAAATAAAATGCTGGGAAACTGAAATAATTCGCTAGAAACAAAAATTCTAGAATGCCACGCGATATCGATCCTCTTATAGCGGTCTTCCAAGCGTAGCTCAGATATAGGACAAGAGCGAAAGTACGGAGCACCCAGTGAGGATCGAACTCAGTACTCTGTCGTAACTATTTTAGCGAGGCAAGCTTGCCAAACCATTACACCACCTCAAAACGCCCATAGACATCCTCTTACATAGCAGTACATGTTTTACAATCTCGCTGTGGATGAGGAGAAAACGGGAAACACCAGAAACGTGGTTCTACAGAAGGATACTGAGAATTTAATGGACGGAGCAAGTAAGCAACGAGGAAGTTTTAAAGAAAATGGCAAAAGAAAGAACACTTCTACTCAGAATCAGAAAAAGACAGATGAAATTCCTTGGATACATAATGAGAAAGGAAGGCTTAGAAAACTTACCCTCACGGGGCATATTGATGTCTTAAAATGTCTTATATATATATATATATATATATATATATATATATATATATATATATATATATATATATGTAAGTTATGAAGAACTTGGTAAACTGAATGGGTAATTCCAAGGAGGATGAAATCCTGAGAGCTCAATGTGAATACAGAGCTAATATTTAATGAAAAAAACAGACCACTTTTAAGGTACCATTACAATAATTTATTTCACCAGATTATATATCTTACTGTTCTTTCTTTTATATATATATATATATATATATATATTTTTATATATATATATATATATATATATATATATATATAAAGAAAGAACAGTAAGATATATAATCCGGTGTTCTTATACATATTTTTATTTTTACAAAATAGTGCTCAATGCAAATTTACAGAGCATTAATGTTATAAATTAATTGATTTAAAATATTTTTTTTCGCTACACAGTTCTAACCATGTTTCAAAAATGGAAAAATGTATATGTATTTATGAAAGTAGACACTGAGCTCAGCTCGGTATTGGCCTCGGTGTCCCCTTTATATATATATATATATATATATATATATATATATATATATATATATTCCTGATATTGAGAACTTTTTACCCATAAACGTTTCCAGCGCGTGTGTAGTAATCCTGAAATCTCTAACCGGAGGGGCAAGCCTGATTGGGAGCCCCGAGCAGTGGTTGGTGACCCTCGCTATCTTATGAGCATTTACTTCTTTATACCTACGTTTATATAGGTGACAAGTTTAACAAAGGACAACTATTAAAGGATGAACAATTTTGCAGATTTTGTCATCATTCTTTCTGTTTTTTTTTTGTAGGCGGGGGCATATCTCGAAAAAACACTATTTAAAATTTCCAAATTTTTCCATAACATTGAATGTACTTTAAAGTTATTTAAGTTTTAATAAGAAAAATCTCAAGTTGATGTTAAAAATTGCCGTAAAATATTGTTGATTTATTTAAGATCCCAAAATCTATTATGAATGTCACAAATTTGTATTTCGATAGATTGTATTTATTTCTAATTATTCTTGTTGAATTTGTTCACCTCTGTTGCATATGATCCATAACTGCACACTGTTAGGTTACAAAGAAATTTGTATTTTATACGAAAATGACCTCATGAAAATGTGTTAATGAAACGGGTGGGAAATTGAATAAAAGGTTCATAATACCCGCCTCGAACACTGAACATTAATGTGTTTAAACATCTCGTACGTAAGTGTGACACTGAAATCCAGCATTGCCAGAGCCAAAGATGTCTTTCAAAAGCTAACCAGAGTATTAACAATCAGAAAAAAAAATCGTTAAAAACAATGAAAAGAGTACAGAAGTGTTACGTAATATCAGTTCACCTATATGGCAGTGAATGCTGGAGAATCTACTCACAGATGAAGAAGTGACTTGAAGCAACAGAAACAAAGAAAAGAGTACTGAACTGTTACGTAATATCATTCCTCAAATATGGCAGTGAATGTTGGATAATCTCCTTACAGATGAAGAAGAGACTTGAAGCAAGAGAAACAAAGAAAAGTGTACTGAAGTGTTACGTAATATCAGTCCTCAAATATGCCAGTGAATGCTGGACAATCTTCTCACAGATGAGGAAGAGACTTGAAGCATCAGAAACAAAGAAAAGTGTAATGAACTGTTACGTAATATCAGTCCACCTATATGGCAGTGAATGCTGGACAATCACCTCACAGATGAAGAAGAGACTTGAATGAGATAGAAATAGAAAAAGTAGAAAAAGAGGAAATGTAATATATATATATATATATATATATATATATATATAGTACTTTTGAAAGACAGCGTATTCTAGAAACAGCAGCCGCCTAAAACGCCAAGTTCTTCGGTAAAATGAATAGTAGCACTCTGGCTGACTGGCGTCTGGTTACATTCCTTCGAACAAATCGATCCAGGCCTGAGGCTTTCGGACGTCGAGTCGCACTGAGGAGCTGTGATACTGCGAAACAACAATGTTGGGAAGGGACACGCGCACGCGCGCACACACACACACACACACACACACACACATATATATATATATATATATATATATATATATATATATATATATATATAAAACGAATTATTTTGAACGAGAGAATTTTACGAGAGTAAAAGAGAAAAAAACGAGAGAAACATTGATCCAGCCGGATTAAACTCATATAATATGGAGAAAGCAAGAGAGAGAGAGAGAGAGAGAGAGAGAGAGAGAGAGAGAGAGAGAGAGAGAGAGAGAGAATAAGATGAAAATGATGAAATGAGAGAAAGGTGGAGAGCGACAGCGAGCGAGAAAAAAGAAGATAAGGGCATATAGAAAAGGAGAGAGAGAGAGAGAGAGAGAGAGAAAGAGTAAGTTGGAACATTAAGGCATCCTGAAAGAGAAGGCGACTGAGAAAGACTGTAGAAGAAGACATAACATGGTATATTATAAGAAAATAAGAAAAAGAAAGAAAAGTTAAAGAAAGAGACAGAAAGGATGCAGATAGATAGATAGATAGATAGATAGATAGATAGATAGATAGATATGACCAGACTGAGATAGATAGATAGATAGATAGATAGATAGATAGACAGATAGATAGATAGATAGATATGAACAGACTGAGATAGATAGATAGATAGATAGATAGATAGATAGAGATGACCAGACTGAAATAGATAGATAGATATGAACAGACTGAGATAGATAGATAGATAGATAGATAGATAGATATGACCAGACAGAGATAGATAGATAGATAGATAGATAGATATGACCAGACTGAGATAGATAGATAGATATGACCAGACTGCGATAGATAGATAGCTAGCTAGCTAGCTAGCTAGCTAGATAGATAGATAGATATGAACAGACTGAGATAGATAGATAGATAGATAGATAGATAGATAGATAGATAGATAGATAGATAGATAGATAGATAGATCGAGAAGGGGCAAAATAGTGAGAGAGAGAGAGTAAAGGATTGGATATTAAAAGCAGAATAACATGAATGAAATGACAATGTCCGCCACCTTTCAAAAAAAGAAAAAAAAAGAAAAAAAACTAAAAAAAAAAAACCAAAACAAAAGCCCCCCCCAAAAAAAAAAACAAAAAAAAAACGAAACATACGTTGGATTTGCTTCTAAGATTGAATTACTTTATTTAATTACACACAATCATTACTCCTTCCATTGACGTGCTTTTAGAAGAATATACTCTAAGGCGTTTACCAATCTGCGACTGGAACGCTGAGAACCGTTCACGTTTTACCATTCCATCAAAGACTTGACATGTTTTTATTTTATTTCATTCTTTGCTTTCTCTCAAAGAACGATTCTAAATTTGGGATCACCTGAAAATTTGTCTGAATAGACGAAGATCTGGAAATAATTATATTATTTCCAGATCTTGTCACAATCAAAATCGTTTGGAATTTGTGAGGCTTATTTTTACAACATTTTTTTTTTATCGGGTACTTTCGGATGGTAATTAAGCCAACATAGGGGATCTTCACATATTTACATTTTGTCAAAAAAAGGGGTTTTAGATTTAGATAAATTTCGAATTTTCATATATTTTAATTACATTTTTTTGACAACGTCTCAACGATAATTTATTTCTCAGTAAGGAAACTGTACCTATTCTGTACGTATCTATCTATCTATCTATCTATCTATCTATCTATCTATCTATCGGGCACCTCAAGGCAGTGTAATGGTTAGCAAGCTTGTCTTGCTAGAACAATTACGACTGAGTAGTGAGTTCAATCCTCACTGGGTGCTTCTACTTTCGGCCTTGTACCACATCTAACCTATCCCTGGAAAATCACTATCTATCAGTCTATTCCGATCTATCTCATTCTGTTCGTATCTATCTATGTTTTTGAAGACATTTTTTCTGTTATTAATTTGCTTCATTTCTGACAGGCATGAGGAGATTCGTTGCTCTGTTTTAATAATTTAACACCAAGCGAGGCGTGAATGCCACTAGTACTCAGGAGTTACAAGCAGTGAACGTGAGAGACAAGCTTGAGTATAAGGAGTATCGAGGAAAGGTCAAAAGATAAACGGGATTCAAGAATTTCACCCCAAGCAAAGCAACACTGCTACTAAGACGAAAGGGGTTACTGAGTGTTTGAGAATATTATGTAGAGAGAACACAAGATAAAGGTTGATATTTTACTTTAAGTGACACTTACTGAAAATAATATCTAAACAAGATGATCTTGCAAACTACACATTGTTAGCATGAGTGGAAATTAATGATAGCAAGAACAAGACAAGGGTTTTCCTTAAGCAATAAGAAGATATATATATATATATATATGTTTGCTCTATGGTTGTATTGAGCTCTTTTGTTAGTTAGTTGTTACTCGTATCGGGTTTTTTTCTTTGGGCTTCAGACCTGCATCTGTGCGATTTTTGTCGGCAGAAGTTCATGTTTGTAGCTCTTTCTTTTTTAAAACCTTTTTCCCTCGAGATTGATTTGATTAGCAAATCAAAATTCGAGGGTTTTTCGAAACGAGTCTAGTTTTCTATATTTATATGTATATATATATATATATATATATATATATATATATGTGTGTGTGTGTGTGTGTGTGAATACATGAATATATATATATATATATATATATATATATATATATATATATATATATAGTCTTAAGGTGTGCTATATTTATGGGAGAAAGTGCTCAGAGATAGAGCGTGTGTAAATATAAAAGTGAACATTCAAGTCAACACTTAGAAGGGACAGGCTGTTTCGTCCTAGATGCAATCGTCAGGCCACGAATGTTGTTTTTTTTCTTGGCTATTAATATATATGGGTCAGTGGTGCATTGTGGGTAGTCTATTTTGGCGGTTATTTTGCCGGAAGTCGTTTATTTGTTTATTTATTTGGGTTAAATTAATTTGCTTGTTTTTATTTATTTATATATTTTTTTATTTTTTTTTATTCTTATCTTATATATTTATTTATTTATTTTTATTTTAATCGGTGTTAACGTAGTAAAAAATTGTTTATATCGCTTATTTAATAGTTTTGTTTTGGTTTGGGAAGATAAAAAAATTTATTCAATTTTGAGGTTGATTGCTGTAGTTTATTCTAACTTTTATTTTTAATTTGTTTTTTACATCATTTGTTTATTTGGATTGGATTGATTATCTTTACTTGTTTTTTTTTTAACGATTAATTTATCGGGATCGGTTTGTCAGTTTATTTATTTGGATTAATTTAGATTAATTTATTATACTTGCTTTTTATTATTTATTTATTATACTGTATATTTTATTTAATCATTTCGGTTTTCGATTATTGAGTAATGTAGCTTTTTTTTAATGTTATATAACAGTTATAGCTATAATTTTCGTCCGATTTTTTCTTTGATTTTTATAGTATAAATAATATTTTTGGTCATAATGGTTTGTTATTTACATTTTGTTTATTATTTACTTTATTTATTTGGATTCATTGATTTTGTTTTTATTTTTTATTTATTTTTTCTATTTCGTCTGTTCTAACGGGTGTGATCTGGTAATTTGTTTGGATTAATTTATTTTATTATCATTTTGTTTATTTATTTATTTTATTCAACTTTTCGATTTTTAAGTAAGTGTTGACTTCAATGTTCGCTTATATATATTTATATGTGTGTGTGTGTGTGAATCCTAATAATATAAAATATTAAAACTGATCCACAAAAAGCGCTCAATATATTTATTATAGAGCATAGAAAAGAATTATATAAAAATGAAAATAGTGTCATTTTTATGTAATTCATTATATATATATATATATATATATATATATATATATATATATATATATATATATATATATATGGGGAGATACCACAAAATGTTTAATATCTAAAAAAGCACTAAACTTATTAGGTTATTTTTTCCAGGTTTTCAGATAAGACGTTTAGCCATCTGTCGTAAGAATCACTGAAAAAACCCTTTGAGTTATTCAGTTAGAAAGAGAACAGGTTAAAATCTCTTCTCAACTGAGCAATGGTGAGAGGAAAAGATCATGCAGGCTTTCAGTAATGGGACCAACATTCGTACTCTGGCTTCCATCTTCAAACTTCATTCAAGTAACATCAAGAGAACGCTGAATAAGTTTAAAAAAAGAACAAAAGATTGGAAAACTGGATTAGGAGGTCAGAACAAGAAGAGTAATCAACTTAGAGCTAAAGAGATCAATTAAAAAAGATCCAACTCAATCCATAAGACGTTTGGCACGTGGGAGAGGAGTTTCAGCTATGACAGTTCAAAGAACAGTGAAAAAAGTTTTGAAAATGAAATCGTACGTGAAACCTGTGAGGAACATTGTTATTCCAGGATAGAAAGTTAGAATGTTAGAGAGGGCGAATATCATCTTGAATAAGTTGGAAAATGATTCTGGAATTATATATATATATATATATATATATATATATATATATATATATATATTCTTATTGCTGGAAGTAGAATCTATTATTTTTATAAAACCTCGGAGATTTCCAGTAAGATACCTTTGATCATTTCTAACATACAAAGGTTCAATGTTTAATCTAATAATTGGACAATTTTGCTATTACACGATTTGGATAATCTTGATGTTACCCCGGTATATCATTGATTGATTCGTTTTCTACTGCTTACCAAGAAACAAAAAATTATTAACAACATTTACCATCCTGAATGTCCGAGAAATTTTCATAATGTGTGACGTCATTTGTTTACATTTGGATACGCTTTGAGCAGATATGTATGTATGAGAGAAAATCATAGATAATTGTGGTATAAAAACAGTAAAATCGACCTTTCTAACCGAAAGCTCTTCTGTGGCCAAATCGGTTAAGGCACGTCAGGCTAATTGACGGTTCCGTACAGTCATACAAATTTGATTCCTGTCGGAGGATGTATATTTTCTATGAAAATTTCTCGGACATTCAGGCCGGTAAATGTTGTTAATACTGTTTATTATAAACAGGGCATTTACTTAAATATTTGTATCTATAAAAAGAACGTATAAACATAAAAAAATGTCTCATATATATATATATATATATATATATATATACTGATTGATAAATTTGATGTTAATCAGATATTACATACATTCCTTGAAACCTAGTCTTTATTACTTGCAATAATTAGCTCCGATTTCATTGGTAAAAAGAAAAACAGGAAAAATAATTAAATTTCATTTAAAGGAACCGAAAACATACCTGAAATATTTTCCTAGAAACAAATCCATGTAGAAAATTTCCCAAATGGAAACCTTGAGCAAAGCATGATGACGACCAATTAATGGATCGATTGAAACATTTAATAACAGCATGTATACAAAGTTCGGTTCGACTGGCTTTTGAACATGAATACCATATGGCGGATGAGAGCATTCCGAAGGTTCTGCTGTACGGGGAAATGGTGATCGACAAAAGATCACAAGGACGATCTGATGTTTGCTTCAAGGACGTCTGTAAAAAGGACATGAAGGAAATGGACATCACCAACGATCGCTCACGTTGGAGGTGCGATTTGTACCCGGAGCTGGAGTGAGCAGAAGAGAAACGAAGGTTTGCCGCCGGGGAGAAATATGCTCGACGGAAAGAAGGGGACTTCGGAGGAGAGCATCTTCATATGCATTCATTGCAATCGAGACTGTCACTCCCATATGAGCCTATACAGCCATAATAGATGACGCACCTTCATCAACAGCTGCGGCATGAACTCGTTAAGTGCACATCCAAGGTTTGTCAAGACCGACGGATGCCACACTGTATACAGCGCTTTGCAAAAGTAAGTGAAAGCCTAAAATAATATTTTAAAAATTTGTCTCTTTTTTTCCAGATGATCAACAAATATTAATTAAATTATAAATTTAAAATTTAAAGTTAAAATTTTTTAAACAATATTGGTTAAAAATAAAATTGTCTGCTTAGAACGGAAGACAACATCCGGGTAATAATCTTCCCTGGGTATATAGTATCTAACCTATAGGAATATTTGCGACTTATTTTTTGAATATTAATTTTTTTTTTGCTTTAATTTAAATATAACTTGATTTTTAGCTGTTATTATAAAACTAATTTATATCATTGTCGCAAAATGTTTCGTCGATACATTCGCTTATAAGGATGAATTTTCTCGAGTTGTTTCTGTCAATACATTTGGACCGGGTTGCTCTGCTTTTATTCGGCATTATGCTTAACATTAGAAAGAAGCAGCTGAAGTTTCTGAGACACGTAATGAGAAAAAACGGTTTAGAGAATCTGATACTCACAGGTCGAATAGATAGAAAGAGAGACAAGGGAAAGCAACGCAAAACATACCTAGCGGGCTTGGGCGGGGGGATCACGGAAAATAGCCTGGGGAAAATAGTAGTAGGATAAAACATTGAGAGCAACAAAAGATAGGAGGAAGTGGAGAGCCATGATCGCTTACGTCCTGAAAGGACACGACGCATAAAAGATGTCTAGGAAATGACGAAATGGGTAAATCGTGTAACACTGGCTGTCAGTTCAATGAATGCTGAATTTTGTCTTAGAGCTAATTTTACAACAACCATTTGCGAGGAAGAGAACAGATACTATACTTTGATCCCAACCCGATAGCTGGGCAGTTAAGAAAGGCGTAACTCGAGTAAATTCGGGCAATGAATACCTAATATTGATTTATGGTAAGTATAACCTTTAAAGTTGATGAGCCGTGATACAACATAGTATTTAGGCATCTCTACACGGTGTCGGGATGTGGCTGTTTAAAGTGGGATGTCCAAGCGCATGCGCATGCGCCAAAATCTCATATTTCTTTGTAGACGCAGCCAACGCCGCGCTGGCATCAATATTTCTGCGAACCTTGTTTCAATGTAGGAGGTGCTGCCGCAGGGTTGGTATCCTTCATTTCTTGTGTGCTTTCTGAAGGTAGAGACACAATTGAAAGATAAATGAAGGCAGATACTACACTTTGATCCCAGCCCGATAGTTAGGGACTGAAGAAAGGCTTAACTCAAGCAGCACTGGGAATGAAGTAATATTAACATTAACATTCATCTTCCGTTTATACAACAATTCTTTTCTGACGTCAGTCATCGGTTGCGAAACGTTAGGCTTTCTCACTTTTGTGAATGCAAAAAAAAAAAAAATATGAAGGAACAAAAAAAAAAAAAAAAATGGTATTATGTACACGGTAAGAAATGGTAAAAATTTCCAATGGAATTAGAAATGAATATTTGTTATAAGACGGGTTCTTTTCATAGAACTTTTCTCCACTTTTCTCATAAATATTAGAACGTGCCCGTAAAAAATTTAACCCGCTCGATAATTACACTGTCACAATGATATTCTTATCTCGTTTTCTTGCTGTTTTATTTTTATTGCAATTTTCAATATGATTTGCTAATAATTGCCATGCTACGAATAAAAATGCTTCTGTGAAATCCGAACGAGACGCGCGTAAAGAACTAAGCAAGTAAACAGTAACAAAAATTAGTGAGGCTAGCGAAAAAAGAGGTCGTCTTCGTTTGTGTCAAGTAACATTCTAGAATCTCAAATAAGCTTCGCCCTTACAAAAACGTATAGAAGGAAAACTTGTAAGATTTCTGCGATATCTTTACAAAATTTTATTGTAAGCTCATATGCATGCAACGTGACATTTGCCGAACATTTTTGGTCTGCCTCACAAATGAGACATTCTTGTCAAATTCTCCCGCGATATTATCAACACATATGCGTAGAATAAAAACAAATAGCATTTATAGAATCAGGAGCAGCAGTAGCAACAACCACATTTGCAAAGAAGCCTGATTTGTTATCTCGATATTGAACAACACAACAGTGTCTAATATGGAGAAAGCGTTGAAGTGTTTCATTAAAAATCATATAAGTTAGTATCAGTTTTGAAATATGAAAAGCAAGAGAAAAAAACAAAAGGTAAGTTGAATAAAAGTGAAGATGACGGAGGCGTGGTAAATAACAACAAACAATAATTTAGAGCTGATAGAAAGATAGGTAGAGAGAGAGAGAAAGAGAGAGAGAGAGAGTGATTCGGAGAAGAACGTGAGGGATATTAGGGGGAGATAGAGAGAGAGAGAGAAAGGGGAAGAGGAAGTAAAAGGAGTCGGTAAATGAATTAATGGAGAGTGATGAAGAAAATAAGGAAGAAAAACGAAGCAAAAAAAAGGAACGAAAACATAAAGGAATGAAGAGAAGGGAAAGAAATAACCAAAGAACACAGGAAGAAAGAAAGAAGGAAAGAATAAAGGAAAGAAGGAATAAGAAAGAAAGAGAAAAAAATAAAGAAAGAAAGAAAAGATGACTATAAAGTAAGAAAGAAAGAAAGAAAAGAAATAAAGGAAGGAAGGAAGGAAGAAAAAATGAAAAAAAAGACTAAAAAGAGAAAACAAAAGGAAAATGAATACGGGAAGAAAAGAAAAGAAATAACTATATTAAGTAAAGAAAGAAAAAATTTTACTATAGAAAGAAAAAATAAAATTACTATAGCAAAGATAAAAAGAAAGAGTTGACTATAAAAAAGAAATAAAAAATTACTATAGAGAGAAAAAAGAAAATTACTATGTATAGGAACGAAAAAAGAAATTACTATATAATAATAATAGTTAATTATTATAGAAAAGAAAAGTTACTACAGGAAAGAAAAAGGAAAGTCGACTATAGAAAAAGAAAAAAGAAAATTACTATACAGAGAGAAAAAAAGAAAATTACTATAGAAAGAGAAAAAGAAAGAAAATTACTATAGAAAAAGAAAAAAAGGAAAGTTGACTATAGGAAAGAAGAAACAGTATTTACATTAGTCGGACTATTGTCCTCATCTTTGTCGCCATATTTGTCACAACGTTTCGGCCGTTGTACGCTCCGGCCTTCTTCAGGTGGTTGGAATTTCGAACTGAACCCTTTATTTCGATCGCTGGGGTAGACTGTTCTAATTCCACGTGCCATGTTTGATGGATGTCAGTTATCAGTTATCTCCTGCTAATTTTCCCTCTGAAAGTTCTCCACTGCCTTAACCAGGAATTGAACTCACCTTCTTTGGGTCTGTCACTGGATCTAACCAACGCCTTTATCCACTGTGCCATGTGTCCTTGAGAACAGTCTACCCCAGCGATCGAAATAAAGGGTTCAGTTCGAAATTCCAACCACCTGAAGAAGGCCGGAGCGTACAACGGCCGAAACGTTGTGACAAATATGGCGACAAAGATGAGGACAATAGTCCGACTAATGTAAATACTGTACATAATACCTCATCTCAGAAATATAGACAAACTCAGGAAAGAAGAAAAAATACTATAGTGAGAGAACAAAAGAAAATTATTATAGGAAAGAAAATAGAAAAGTTGAGTATAAAAAAGAAGAAAGAAAATTACTATAGAGAGAAAAAAATCACTATAGGAAAGAAAAAAAGGAAATTACTATAGAATGAATAATAGATTATTACTATAGAAAAGAAAAATACTATAGAAAAGAAGAAAAGTAAAGTTGACTGTAGGAAAGAAGAAAAGAAAATTTGACTCAAAAGTAAAAAATGGAAATAAATTACTGTAGAAAAGAAATTACTATAGAGAAGAAAAAAAAACGAAAATATGACGATAGTAAAGAAAAGAAAAAAAAAGAAGACAGAAATAAATAATGAAAAGATGACTATAGTAAAAAAAAGAAAGAAACGTTGATTGTAATTCCCGCCCATTTAAATTCTCCAAAATGAAAAATCGAATATCTGTGAATTAATTAAAAAAAAACCAAAAAAACGTCGGTTCGACTGGCTTTTGAACATGAACACCATATGGCGGATGAGAGCATTCCGAATGTTCTGCTGTACGGGGAAATGGTGACCGACAAAAGATCACAAGGACGATCTGATGTTTGCTTCAAGGACGTCTGTAAAAAGGACATGAAGAAAATGGACATCACCAACGATCGCTCCCGTTGGAGATGCGATTTGCACCGAGAGCTGGAGTGAGCAGAAGAGACACGAAGGTTTGCCGCCGAGGAGAAATATGCTCGACGGAAAGAAGGGGACTTCGGATGAGCAATCATTGCAATCGAGACTGTCACTCCCATGTGAGCCTATACAGCCATAATAGATGTTGCACCTTCATCAACAGCTGCGGCATGAACTCATTAAGTGCACATCCAAGGTTAGTCAAGACCGACGGATGCCACACTGTATACAGCGCTTTGCAAAAGTAAGTGAAAGCATAAAATAATATTTTTTAAATATGTCTCTTTTTTTCCAGATGCTCGACAAATATTAATTAAATTATATATTCATTAAGAAAAACCTCTCTTAAATCAATTACAACCATTTTAAAAAAATATCAAGCTTGAATAAAAATATTAATTAAAATTAAAAATCAAAACATGCAAAAGTAAGTGAACACTTACATTTAATATTTGATGACTGCTCCTTTTGAGCTTACAATGTCAACCAGTCTTTTTCTATAATTTTAAGAAGTTTCTCGCAGTAGTGAGTGCCGATTTTTGACCATTCCTCTTAGCAAAATTCTCACAATTGCTTGATTTTACCCGGGTTTCTGCATGTACTCCATTCTTTCACTTGAATCACAGATTTTTTCAATTGGGCTTTGATTAGGACTTTGACTAAGATATTCAAAGACTTTAAATTTTTTTTTACGAACACATTCTTTTGTAGATCGGGTTTGATGCTTCCGATCATTATCCTGTTAGAAATTCCAGCCCTGATCTCAACTCAACTTTTGAACTGAGGACAAGGTACAAAATTAGTTGTTATCTTGTAGAGTCTATTGTGCTGTCAATGCGCACTATTTTATCTGTTCAAACTGCAGCAAAACTCCCCCCTCCACAAATCATAATGCTGTCACCGCCATGTTTAATGGTTACTAACAAATAATTCTCTTCAAAAACTATATCAGGAAGTAGCCAGATATACCACCTATTCTTCCTCCAAAAAAGCTTTAGTTTGGTCTCATCTGACCATAAAACTCTTTGCCAGAATGTTTCTAGTTTATTAAAATGAATTTTGGCATATTCATCTACAGTCACTCTCTCACAGACGCGACTCTTTGTCTTTTCTACAAATACTTCCATGGTAATTGCTCCAATGAGCTGCTTTCACTGGTTCCCAGACTCCATGAATTCAAGCGCCCTACGAGGCTGGCATCGCGCTCCCACCCTTACACTATAGAAATTTTTAAATGTAGCCGCCTCTTCTACTCCAATAGCTTCATACCTCGCACCTCTCGCCAGTGGAACACCCTTCCCAATTACTGTTTCCCTGAAAGCTATAATCTCCAACTATTCAAATGTAATGTCAATCGACACCTCCAGTTACCTTGATCTATCCACTATCCCTCTCCTCATCCTTTCTTCTATCACTCCTATCCGCTCTCGCTACAAATCTTCCGCAACCCCTTGCATCCTAGTGGCTTCACGCCTTGCTTGGGGCGTAATGCTTAAAAAAAAAATAAATAAATAAAAAAATTTGAGGCAGCATGCTTGTGCTATTTCGTAAGCAGTGGCTTTTTCTAGGCATTCCCTCTTGCAGATCGGCGTTGTTTAGATTTTGTAGTAATGTAGTTGTATACACATTGATTCCGACATTGGTCAGTGAGCATTGGGGAACCTCAAATGTTACGTCAGGATTTGCCTGGGCTTGCCGAACTAGATGTCAACTTTCTTTTGCTATTATTTTTCCCTGGCGGCCACTTCTTGCTTGCCATGTCATCATATGAAAGGCCTTCCATTTATAAATAATTTGTTGCACAATGGAGAAGTGCACTCCAAATCGTTTTGATAGCTTTTTGCAGTCTTCTCCATCATTATAGGCTTCAATTATACGACTTTTTAATGCTTCAGAAAGTTCTTTTGATCTTTGCATATATTCTTTGTAAAATTTAGTCTCTAACTGCACACTTTTGTATGCACAATAAGTAATATTGGTTGACTGCAGTATACACAGCTTGCCAAAGAAAAAATGCACTTGTATCATTTTGAGTTTTACATATGCTTTAAAAATTATTTGCATTGGCAAACATATAAAACAAAACCAAAGTATGTAAATTTAAGGCTTCACTTAATTTTGCCCAACTTAACTTTTATTCCAGCTTGATAAAAATATTTGAAAGTGGTTGTAATTAAGTAAATAAAGATTTTTCTTAATGAATATATAGTTTAATTAAGATTTGTTGATCATATGGAAAAAAGAGACAATTATTTTAAAGATTATCTTAGGGTACACTTACTTTTTGCACAGCACTATATATATATATATATATATATATATATATATATATATATATGTAT